GAATCTCCTATCTTATGTTCTATAAAAGATATTTTGTAAAAGATCTTCCAGTCAATGGAAAACCTAATATAAAAAATCTTTTTCTTTACAGAAAACCTCCAACAGAAATTCGATAGAGGGCTCCAATTTTTAAATTTTACAGAAGAGCTTTAAAGATGATTCTTTACATCTTAAAGACCTCTCACTTTTAGAAAATCTTCCATTTTTATAAAGCCTTACCTTATATAGAGGGTCTGGTATTAAATAAAAGACCTCTTTAGGAAAACTTCTTTGGAATGAAATACATCCCATAAAAAATGGGATATACTGTAAAACATCATAAAAAAGCTTCTATACAACTCCTCTTATAAAAAGGCTACTTTTCGGTAGAAAACCCACCAAGAAATGTGGCAATTAACTATTTTAATTGGAAATAATTTTCTAAGAGCTCTATTTTGTTTTATAGAACATCTCACATAAAAGATCTGCATTTTTACTACAAATCACATGTTCTATAAAGGCCAATCAATTCAAATTTAAATTAGGATAACGATTATGACACCTTCAATAATTGATGTTTTAGTTAGAAACCACTAAATTGTCAGCACCCCAATATACATAGTTATAGGCCAACTAAATGTATTACTCACCAACAAAATAAGCTACTGCTCACCAAATCTCTTTGATGTGTTTGACTTAGTTTCGAAAAAATATTCAATTTTAATGTTGTTTAGAAAAACCAACAAAAAACTCAAACACCATACACCAAAAGCCTCGGCTCAACAACAAACTGTGAAGAGGATCACATTTGGCGTCACTCCCTCAGGGAAAATTTTGTGTTCTGTTGTTGACACATACAAGCACTGGCAAGCAACAAACATTCAAAAAAATATTGAAAAAAAAAACGAAAATATCCTTAAGGATATGACATTTAACACGCCATAATATATCGCACAAAACCAACCGAGCAAGCTAGCTAGCTGGCTGATTGTTTGCTGTAAGCCCATAAACTCACGTCTTAGTCCTGTGGCTTACAAGCGAACGAAACAGCCAAGATAAACCACACCAACCAAAGCACTACAACTTGGAAAACACTTGAGTTCAAACCTCCACGTATCGCTATAGCGCAGTTGGCCGAAATCACCCAAAATGCAACAACAACAACGACAAAAACGTGAAACACATGAAAGCACCAAAACCATAAATAGAAAAATTGTAAAAACAATAAATTCTCTCTCAGGGCAAAAAGGAACTCCCCCGAGTCTAAGTAGTTGGATAAAGGAATCTTAAGAAAATATCTTCATAAAAACGAAACAACAAAATAAACCGAAACCTTAACATCAAAACAATACAAACTGAAACGGCACCAAAACAAAAACGACTGTGACGACTGTGGAAACGTTCAGGATGACTATCAATGAAACAGAAAATGCTGGGAAAACAATGTGACACCAAAACATTTTCCTTTTGTCTACGTCTTCTGTGTGTAAACATTAGCAATGGTTATGGTATTCTACGAATATGTCATCCATGATAAAGAAACAATATTCCCCCACCCCTTGGCTCAGCTTAATGGCTCAATTCTCATGTGTGTTCTTTATTATTCGTTTATAAGCTCGATAATCCCAATGTAGTCACTGCTGTTTAATAAAGGCAATTTAATAAATGTTCACACATAATTCGGTAGGCTCCTTCGATTGTAAATGGGGGTTAATATTATGAATATATTCTAAAGGTTGCTTAGGAAAAAAATATTACTTCAAAAGTTAAGTGATTGAGCGACATACTAGAGGACTGCATGATTGAATGGCTTGTCTTCCTTAAAAAAGTATATCGCGAGGATACCAAATGAACAAGAAACCAGTTGGTGCCATATTGAGAAGAAAAGTAAGGAAGTACCCAACATATCGGAGAGATGTGAAAACATAGAATCGAAGGTTTTTCCGTTATATTGGTAATGGCGCCCAACTAATACCCAACAAACAAATGGCCCTTTCATATAGAAGACCTGACAGGACAAAATGTATTATCCAAAGGGGCTAAATAGTCTTCTTAAAAGAGACAAGAGGCTTTTCACCATAGGATGTTCTTATTAGAAAGAAGGCCGAGTAGCTCTTCTTATAGAAGACCCAGAAGAAGAATACCAAAAGTGCTTTCCAGAGGAGACCAAAAGGTCTTCCAAGAGGAGACCAATAGAGGACCAAGAAAGTCTTCTTACATAAGACTAGAAGGTTTTCATTTAAAACACGAGAAGGTCTCCTTATAGCAGACCCAAGAGGCTTTCTTATACAATGCCAGAAGGTCTTCTTGTAAAAGGCCATAAGGTCCTCCAATGGAGAAGGTTATCTAATAGAAGAACAAAAGTTCATCCAATAGAAGACCAGAAAGTCTTCTATAAAAATACCTTCTGGATTTTTATAGAAGACCGGAACGTCTTCTTATAGAAGAACATACCAGAAGGTATTTCAATAGAAAAGAAGGCCTTCTTATAGAAGACCAGAAGATCTTCAAATAGAAAACCAGAAGGTCATCCAAGAGAAGAACCCAAGCTCTTCAATAGAATCCCATATAGAAACCAAAAGGACTTCTTATAGAACACCAGAAGGTCTTCTTCTAGAAAACCAGAAGGTCTTCCAATAGAAGACCAGAAGGTCATACAATAGAAGACCAGAAGGTCATCAATGAGAAAAACCCAAGATCTTCTTAAAGAAGGCCAGAAGGTCTTCTCATAGAACACCAGAAATTCTTCTAAAAGAAGACCAGAAGGTATTCCTATAGAAGACTGGATCGTCTTTTTATAGAAGAACGTACCAGAACACCAGAAGATCTTATAATAAGAAGTCTTCTTATAGAAGACCAGAAGGCCTTTTTATAGCAGACCAGAGTATCAGAAGTCTTCTTATCGAAGACCAGGGCAGGTCTTCTTATAGAAGACCAGAGAAGGTCTTCTTATAAAAGACCAGAAAAGGTCTTCTTATAGAAGACCAGAGAAAGTCTTCTTATAAAGGACCAGAGAAGGTCTTCTTATAGAGGACCAGAGAAGGTCTTCTTATAGAAGATCAGAGATGGTCTTCTCATAGAAGACCAGAGAAGGTCTTCTCATAGAAGACCAGAGAAGGTCTTCTTATAGAAGACCACAGAATGTCTTCTTATAGAAGACCAGATAAGGTCTTCTTATAGAAGACCAGAGAATGTCTTCTTATAGAAGACCAGATAAGGTCTTCTTATAGAAGACCAGAGAAGGTCTTCCTATAGAAGACCAGAGAAGGTCTTCTCATAGAAGCCCAAAGGAGGTCTCCTTATAGAAGTCCAGAGAAGGCCTTCTTATAGAAGACCAGAGAAGGTCATCTCATAGAAGACCAGAAAAGGTCTTCTCATAGAAGATCAGAGAAGGTCTTCTCATAGAAGGCCAGAGAAGGTCTTCTCATAGAAGACCAGAGAAGGTCTTCATATAGAAGACCAGAGAAGGTCGTCTTATAGAAGACCAGGGAAGCTCTTCTTATAAAAGACTAGAGACGGTCTTCTTATAGAAGGCCAGAGAATGTCTTCTTATAGAAGATCAGAGAAGGTCTTCTTATAGAAGTTCAGAGAAGGTCTTCTTATAGATGACCAGAGAAGGTCGTCTTATAGAAGACCAGGGAAGCTTTTCTTATAAAAGACTAGAGACGGTCTTCTTATAGAAGGCCAGAGAAGGTCTTCTCATAGATCTTCTTATAGAAGACCACGGAAGTTCTTCTTATAAAAGACCAGAGAATGTCTTCTTATAGAAGATCAGAGAAAATCTTCTTATAAAAGATCAGAGAAGATCTTCTCATAGAAGACCAGAGAAGATCTTCTTATTGAAGATCAGAGAGGGTCTACTCATAGAAGACCAGAGAAGATCTTCTTATAGAAGATCAGAGAGGGTCTTCTGATAGAAGACCAGAGAAGGTTTTCATATAGAAAATTCTTTTGTTTAAAATACATCTTAGATGCCTTAAACTCTAGTCTTCGAATAGAAGATCCGACATACTAGAATGTTTTCTCCTAGAATGTCATCTCGAATTAATACTATTTAATTGTACCCATTTACAAAACAATTTTAAGCAATAATTTTATTTTATTTTATATTGGCAGACAGCCTTTTAACAGCTTTCAATTAGTACAAACTGTCGGATCCATTCACATACTGTTAGCCAAAGAAAATGTTACAAAGGCACATCCTTTTAGGAAAAATGTATTTCATAGGAAAGCAGACAAAGACTAAAGGAGTTTTATTGAAGGCGTTGTACCAAAAAACCCCTTTCTTCAATTGGTGCACCACCGAAAGAGCACATTCCAAAAGCTGGGCTTATTGTATCAACAATCCCCCTTTCTGTCCTGGAGCAAGCATTTTTACACACAAAAGTAAAATAAATTAAATTTCATATTTTTGGGGGTATTTTTCCATTGAATCGTAACAAAGCTACAAAACAGAAGGGCAACATATCTATGGATGCAACCGAAAAAATGGCAAATAAATTCCCATGCAAACCTCTGATGTGGACTGCAACTACTGATGATGACTTGGACTTGGACATGGACAACTTGCTGAACGAAACTTTCGACAAAGAACGACACACAAAAATAAACAAAACTATTTTTTAAATATTTTTTTTTTTTTCATTTATTTTCTTTGGTTTTTTTTTTTTTTGCCCACATCTTTGGTTGTTGAAATTTTTTCTGTATGTATGTGTGTGAGTCTGTGTATGTATGTTTACATATGCAACAACAACAACGACGAAACTTTCTGAAAAAAAAAAACGAAAAAGAAGAAGTTCAGTTCGTAAAGTTGCCCATACATAAAATTGAAACAAAAGACATCACCTATCTGCGTGATGAATATGTAGACATACATACATCCTGCGACGTACATACTGAAAGTGGCAACTAACCAAATAAACAACACACAACTACCTTTCCAACATTCTTTTCGCCCTCACCCCCGACCCCATTTCGACCAACCACAACACACCCGTTGTTACTCCACTGCAATGTTGTAGGTTTTGACTAAGGATAGTGTGACGGTCTCGGTGGATGCAGTGGTTTACTATCGCGTTTCGAATGCGACAGTTTCTATAGCGAACGTGGAGAATGCTCACCACTCGACACGATTATTGGCACAGACTACTCTACGAAACACAATGGGAACTCGGCATTTGCATGAGATACTAAGCGAGCGTGTATCTATATCTGGTTCAATGCAGGTAAGCCCCTCCAAACCAAAAGAGAAAAAACATCTACATCTAAACTAAAACTCAGAAATAAGAAGAAAAAACAAAACACCCATCTAACAACATCCACTGACATCAAAGCTAATGCATGCCCTGTCACTGTATATATGTAAAGCTATCAGCACTATCCCGCTTCCCAACAGCACAACACTGAAAGATCACGTTAGCTAGATGCAATCAAAATTCCTATCCACACTCGCACCCTCACTCCTTAACATCCTACCACTACATTTGCATATTTCCATAACCACTTGAAGAACACACCAATTTTTACTGGCAACGCTTCCAGCAAAGACACCTCAAATGAATAAACCACAAACCTCCATAACGCATTCAGCCTAAAAGTGTAGTGAAATGTGTAGTTAGTAGCTGTAATAAACCACAATTTCATCCGAAACCCCTGAAACTCATGCGAAAGGCAAAGAAGTTTACATGGCTCAGTGGTTACAGGTGGAAGAATATAAAAAATATTTTAAAAAAAGTTTTAAAAAATGAATGAATAAATGGGATTTTAAAATCTTACGTATATTAACCGATATCAACAATACGCCACCATGGTCAATTATTATTTGCAATAATACACATACGCACCCGTGTACAATTATATTACAACTTTTATTTAAAACATTACGCAGGGAAATATTTATTAACAAAGAAATACTTAAATCATTGATTTTGGACCACATCATTTTAGGTGAAAAAATTATGATATGTGTTGTGTGGCTGAGAACCCATATATTCCGCACAAAGGGTCAAATTTTGAATAGACATAGATTTTATGAGATTTGAAATGAATCACCGATATTTTCCAACCTTTGCATATTCAGAAGATATATATCATTTGATATGGCCAAAACGTGCCTCATCGAAATAACCAAAAAAATTGGACCAAATCCGTTTTAGGACATTTGTAGTCGATCTAGAGGTGTCCGTCCTTCTTTCTGTCTGGCTGGTGCACACGATAACTCTCAAAGAGGGCATCCAACTTGGTCCAAACTCGGCACACCATAATATTACTATCAAACTTAGATCGAGTCCGGAGATGGGAAATATCGGTCCACTCCCCCACAAAAAGGTCGAAATTTAAAAAAAAAAAACAAGTAAGCAAAGGCTACAGTCGAGCGGGGCCGACCGTTGAATACCCTACAACACTTTAATAAGTGATACAGTTTATATAGGCGAGATACTCGAAAGAATTCTACAAGATTTTGTGACAAATAATAAAAGAAAACCATAAGGTTTCGTTCTCTAATTTTCGAATAACAGCAACTAATTCGCTCATTTCCAATTTATTGGTAGATGTTGCACGTAAATGGTCTTCCTAGATCTGGAACCAATATTTCCCAAAGACCTATAATCTCTCCGAAGTGACAAAAGATTAACATTTATTATTGGTTTTTGACTGAAACGCATCTATATGAGGTACAGCCATTTGACTATATTCTTCAACGAAATCAGCTTCAACGAAATAGTCTGAAGTGCGTCTTTCCTGTATTTGTGAATTGTCCAAAAAGTCACTGGAATGGACATTTTCGTATTTTGTCTACAAAAGTTGGCAAACTATTTCACACATTGAATATTTTTGGATAGCCATCCAAAACTGTTCGGCTTTTGCAATGTCCGGTAACCCCCATTCAAATGTGCGTGAGGATCGGGCGATAATTACGACCTGCTGACAATTTTGCAGTTTTTTGGTCCATTTCAACCCCTAAATATATGGCGATCATCTCCAAAAAGAGTAGGCTTCTATTCTGACCCTCATCTTATCCCCATGCAAAATATATGTATATTATATTATATCCTGATATCCTAACTACTTAGTTTTGTTAGCTGTAGAAATATTACCAAATGTTTAATTCAAAATGAAAATATGCCAAAAATATGACAAAATTGAAAAAATATGAGAAAATTTTACAAAATCAATATTTTCATCTTTAGAGAGATATTTTTATGCGTTTTTTTAGACGTTTTTTCTTTCCTGCCAAGAGGCCATTCTGAATTAATGAGAACTGTCGAAATCAGTTCGGCCGTTCTCGACATATAAGAGATCTTTCAAGCATATCTTCTACGATAGACATATATATCGCACTTTTATTGCTATATATCCGATTTGTTGGATGTTAACATCGATGTAAAGGTCAGAAGTAACCTTGTCATGGCTTTGTGATTTCGCCGGGATTTAAAATATTTGCGGTTTAATGAAAAATTTTGAATTTTTTCAACACAAAATATATGGTCTATTTTACCCACTAAATATTATCCGATGACCACCCAAATTGGTAGGCTTCTTCCTAGCTACATGCGAAATTCCGCGTCGATTGGTCTATAATTGCGACGTGTATAGCTACTGCAAAATCCGAATTTTTTTCAGTATTTGGTCCATTTCAACCCCTAAACATTTGGCGATCATCTCAAAAAGAAATAGGGTTCTATTCTGGCCCGACCCCGACCTCCATTCCAAATTTCGTGAAGATCGGGCCATAATTGCGACCTGTAGAGTGATTACAAATTAACATGGACAGACGGACGGACGGACATACATAGCTAGATCGACTCAGCTCGGCGAGATAGGATGATCCATATATACTTTCCTATGTGGGAAACCAATATTTCGAGGTGTTACATAATTTTTGGGCCAATCAAACGTATAATACCCCCAACACATAGTGTTGTAGGGTATAAAAAAGGTTTTATGCACAGAAAGGGAGAGAATAATCCGATTTTGCTCCAACTGTGCAAGTCATAATACTTGCATTAGAGCTAGATCAGGTGCTGGACAATATCGGTCTACTCCATCAAGTGCCTCCCTCACAAAGGATAACAATTTTGAATAATTATAGCTCTTATAAAATGTGATATAAGAATCCGATTATCTTCAAATTACACACATCACAATATTTTTATTAACCCAAGGTCTGGTGTCAAAATAGAATAAATCGGTCCACTCTTTTTGGTACCTCTTCAACAAAAGGTAAAAATTTTGAATATTCATGAAGCTCATAAACCCCGAAATTAACATACGATTCCATTCGGACTTGGCACATCTCAAAATTTCCATCAACACACGATCTGGTATAAATATGGGAGAGATTGGACTATAGCTTCTGGTACCTCCCCCACAAAGGGTTAAAGTTTTAAATAGCCAAAACCGAAATAAACATCCAGTTCTCTTCAAATTACGCTCATCACAATATTTTTAATGACCGAAGGTCTGGTGTGTTGATGGGATATATCGGTCCACTCCATCTAGTACATCCCCCACAAAGGGTCAAAATTTTGAATAATTATAACTCTTATAACATGTGAAATAAGAGTCAAATTGTGTTCATATTTCACACGTCCCATTATTTCTACTAACTTGACATCTAATGTGAAGATGGGATATATCGGTTCACTCCTTCTGGTACCTCCCCCACAAAGGGTCAAAATAATGAATATCTCTGAAGTTCATAAAATGGGAAATTAACATCCGATTCCATTCAGACTTGGTAAAGACAATATTTCCATCAATACAAGATCTGATGGTAGAGATCGAACCAGAGATGGGATATATCGGTCTACCCGCTCTGGTACCTCCCACATAACGCGACAAAATTTTGAATAGCCATGAAGCCCGTAAATCGTGAAATGAGCATCCGATTCCTTTTAAACTCGGCACTTCCCAATATTTCTATCAACATATGACCTGGTATGAAGATGGAATATGTCGTACTACTCCTTCTGGTACTTCCCCCATAGGTGGTCAAATTTTTGAATAATTATATCTCCCATGAAATAAGAAATACGCATCAGATTCCTTTCAAATTTCACATATCCCGAAATTTCTTGTTACACAAAATTTGATATGGAGATGAGATATATCGGAACTATCCTTCTGATACCTCCCCATAACTAATCAAAAATTTGAATAATTATATCTGTCATATGATGCGAAATGAGCATCCGATTACCTTCAAATTGCATATGTCCCAATATTTTCCCAAGTTCTGTTGTGAAAATTATAGATATCGGCCTACTACTTCTTGTACCTCTGTACTGAGTGAGTTAAAAAAAACTGCAACAATGTCAAACGCCATAATTTTTACATTTTTTTTTTTTAAATTTTATTGAATGAAAACAAAAAACACGCTGCCCGAATGTTGCTCTGCGGTATTTTGGCCCATTACCGGCGAAGCACTTGCTTGCCTGCTTTCCAAAATAGTCCAGATACAAAAGTCCAACGGATTGGTATCAGGAGATTTTGGTGGCCATTGTGCCCTGGAAATGAAGCGAGGAACCTCATTTTGTAACCATTCTAGGGTGGCGCGTGCTGAGTCCTGTTGGAATGTTCAAGGCTTTAATACACCCTCCAGAATATTTTCGCGATAATATTTGGCATTTATTCTGATGCCACGGGCGATTAATACGAGTGAAGAGCGACCATCGGCTGTTATGGCGGCCCACACCATCCAAATGGCCGCCGCTTGAGTTCTGGTGACCAACCTTTATGGCCATTTTAAAATATTTAAGAATTCTTGCTCAATATTTAAGGAGTTATGGCCATTTAAAAATATATAGGAATTCATGCTTAAAAAGTGATCACAAATAATAGCTAAAAACGCTGAAAACTCAATATTTAAAGAGTTATGGCCATTTTAAAATATTTAAGAATTCATGCTCAATATTAAAGAAGTTATGGCCATTTTAAAATATTTAAGAATTCATGCTTAAAAAAGTGATCACAAATAATAGCTAAAAACGCTGACAACTCAATATTTAAGGAGTTATGGCCATTTTAAAATATTTAAGAATTCATGCTTAAAAATGTGATCACAAATAATAACTAAAAACGCTGAAAACTCAATATTTAAAGAGTTATGGCCATTTTAAATTATTTAAGAATTCATGCTTATTTTCAGCTGTCATTTTCAGCTGACCTGAACTCAAAACCAGTTCACCACTCTCGGCCAAGCGAAGCAACTCTTTAGCTCTTC